GAAGACATCCTCATCCGCACGCTCCCCTTCCCTGCGTGTCTCACAAAGTCCGGCTACAACACTCTCTACGAAGCCTTCAGATCGCACGCGACCACGCTCCTCAACGAGGCCGAGAAGCTGGGCCTGGACCGGAACGAGGCCTGCCACAACGTGGTTTTCACCGCCGGCTTCAACGCCTACGGCGGGCTCAAGAACCAGTTCCCCGTGCTCCTGAAGTGGGTGGGCCTCGCCGGCGACAAACTCCACGCGGACCTCGCGAGTGAAGTTCGGCGCGTGGTGAGCGCCGAAGGAGGAGTCACGTTAAACGCGCTGGAGAAGATGCCGTTGGTGAAATCCGTTGTGTACGAGGTGATGCGGATCGAACCCGTGGTGCCTTACCAGTACGGGCGCGCGAGGGAGGACATGGTGGTGCGTAGCCACGACGCATCGTTCGAGGTGAAGAAGGGGGAGATGCTGTTCGGATACCAGCCGTTTGCAACGAAGGATCCTAGGATCTTCGAGGATGCGGAGGTTTTCGTGGCGCGTAGGTTTGTGGGCGAAGGGGAGAAGATGCTGAAACACGTGCTGTGGTCCAATGGGAAGGAGACAGAGGAGGCTTCGGTCAGTAATAAGCAGTGTCCTGGGAAGAATCTCGTGGTGCTGCTGTGCAGATTGCTTCTGGTGGACCTCTTCTTACGATACGACACGTTTCAGTTTGAGTTTAAGCAATCTGGGTTTGGTCCTAGTATTACCATTAAGTCCCTCACCAAGGCTTCTACCTTGTTCTGACTCTTATTTATTTGGTGTTTTTTCTTCACAGCTGGCTTATCTTCATTTCAAAACAATGTCTGTTTGGTGTTCAAAAATAATATTTGGTGTTTGGTTCAATAAACACGGATTATTTAAGTATTTTATTATGGTTAAATCCATTTGGAGGTCTCCATTTTTTAGGATTGTCTCAGTTACATTCCGTCTTTTAAGTTTTGTCAATTAAGTCCTTAATATTGAAAAATTGAATCAATTGGGTCCCTGCCCTTAAATCAACTTAACGGGTTAAATTTTTGCTTACCTGTGACGATGACGTGGATAATTTTGGAGACATGGTGTGCACAGACCCTTATTCGTGGCTTTTTATTAATGAAACCCTTGTGGCATTTTCTAAATGAAACATTTAAAAAAATTGAAGTTTTTCTGAAAGATTTTAAAATTAGGGTTAATTGAAGTTTGAATTGAGAAGAGAAAATCTGAAGCTTCAAATTGGCAGGACGTCAACCATGGAAGCATCTTCGTTCTGCGTTCATCATCAAGTCCAGATTCACCTGCAAACAGAAATCAACCCAGAATTGCGCCTCCGCATCAACAACCAAAAATCACCATCCTCATCATGAATCAAAAGAAACGTAGCTCCTCCCATGGTCGTCATCTCCTTCGCACAACCTGCATAAGAAATCGGGACCAGAGAAAAGCAAATTCACGCAACAGCCCAAGAACCTCAAATCAAACCCTACGAAGAACCCTAAGCGCAAATTTCATCTACCCTTCTTCTTCATCTCGCGGCACTCAAACCTTCATCCAGCAATCATGGCAACCAATCAAACCAGAATCGCGTCACCCAGGAAACCATCAACACCAGTCCAATTCACTGAAGCCATGACAGAACGCGAGCAGCCGCCGCAAAAGCAAGAGAGCGTTTTCCCCTTGCCAATATGAAACCCTAATTTATGAAACCCTAATTGATGAAACCCTTGCACAGACCGCTTCAGATTTTCTCTGCCATGGGCTTCAGTCTTTTTCTGTTGGTAACTGCGCGGACCTTGATGATATGGGGTTGATTGAAATTGCCAGAGGGTGTTCCAGGCTGGTTAGCGCCGCCGCGAGAATCGCGAACTCCTTGCGTCGTCGCGAGACCACGCCGTGAGAGCTCCATCGCCTTTGTTTCTCCTCCTCGAGCAATTGCGAGAATCATAAAATATTTCAGAAAAAACCCAATTTTTAAAATGTTCTTTTAGGAAAATGCCACATGATTATTAAAAACCACGTGTAACGCCCTCTACAAGCCACGTCTGAAATTACATCCACGTCTGACATTACATCCACGTCACCCTCACAGGTCATCAAAAACTTAACGGGATTAAGTAGATTTAACAGTAGGGACTCAATTGAGTCAATTATTCAATAAAAAGGATAAAATTGGCAAAAATGAAAAGACGAGGATGTAACCTTTTATTATCGAGCAGTTTAAACTTATATTTATTTATATTATATTTATATATTATAATTAAATTTCAGTAATTTTGTGTATTCATTATTATTTATTATTATGTTACTTATACTGGATGACCAGACGGTGAGTTATAGATCGAACGATCGATCACTCAATAACAAAGTAATTAATTAGTATAATAATAGTAATTAATTAAAATAATCAAAGTAGTTAATTGGCAATTAATTAGAGTAATAAAATAATTAATTGGAGTAATAAAAATAATTAATTGTTAATTAATTGGTTAATTTTAATTAAAAGCTCGCTCCAAAATCTATAAGTACAGGTTTAACATTAGAATAATGGTTGACACTGACTTGAGTCTGAGAGTGCTTCCTACATGTAACTCCCACACAGATCGAACCTCCAAGAGGATTCATAGACTGAGGATTCTTCGAGCTAGGAGCAAATTCTTGATCCCATATACCAAAACATCTTGGCATCTACTGTGGGGTTGAGGATGGTAGAAGAAACTCAATGGTGATCTGGTGGAGTTAATTAGAGAAATGCAGGAAATGTAGAGAAGAAATGATGCTGAAATAACGACTTAAGAGTGGGCATTCCGCCGAAAGTAAACCGGGCAAGAAGTGAGTAGCGTTATGGCCAGGACAACCCTTTCTATCCAAATCGTTCAGGCAGAGGGATTGTTGTTGTTTTGTAAACACCATGACATTCTACTCATCAAGTGACTCGGTGTTGTGTCAAGTGTTTTCTTTGTCACTCAAAGGAGAAGTGTTGGCATGATTCAACACTCTACCCCTAAACACGATGAACTGTTTCACTACCATCAGTACGTAGTATGCCTCTAGCAGGGCCCAAAGCATACCCACTTGACCAAACTTCCATGCAGTTTCCTGTCGATTACCTTGTCGGTCCTAGTTGAACCTTTCATACAATTCCCTACAGACTACCTTATCAATCCTAGTTGAACCTTCCATACAATTCTTTGTTGACTACCTTGTTGGTTATGGTTGAACCTTTCATACAAGTTTCCAACTGGCTATCTTATCGGTCTCGATTGAACCTTAACGATACTCACATCTTAATAGAAAGTCGTCTAGAGACAACACAACTTCCAATTTTCATAAAACAACTCCATTGAGTTAACCACATGCTCCATTGAGCCCTCCATGTCTCTTTTCAGACTTCATAAAGTCATCTAAGTTGCAATATGTATTTCACCTAAACTTATGATAGCTAAGTTACATGAGATCAACTCGGTAATTGTCTTTGGATAATTTTCATGAAATGTAAATAGAAATCATGAGAGTACTTGATGACTTCCTAGTTGACCACGTGTTGACTGATACAAAAACAAAAATTATATAAAAATATACAATTTTTTTATTTAAAATGGTGTGGAAACTTCTTGTAATTTTTTAAAAATATTTATATTCCTGTAATATTCCTAGCTGCTATTAAAAGAAATAATATATTAATTCATTCGAAAGTTTGACTAAAAATGAATATATTTTTTTCTGGCAAATTTATATTCATTGTTATATCACAATCATTTTTAGAAAAAATTTCAAAATATTTATTAGACTACAATCCAAAAACATGATTTTATTTGTAGAGCAGTGTAGGTATAGGATGTTAAGAATGATAATATATTGTAATATAATTAATTTTTCCAGTTATATACAAGGATGATATTTCTGTTAAATTAGAACAAACTTTTATCAATAATATTTCAAAGAAGAAATTTGTGGACAACAATAAAATCGTAGTTGATGAAAAATGTAAAAATGTACTATAAACAAAGTATAAAAAGTTTACTTTTATACAATTACAGGCAACATTACATAATCATATTTGTACTTATTTCATTAAATCTTTTAATACTATAATTAATATTTGAATCACGTTGATGTTTACTATATGAATGAAAGGAAGTCTGTGGTCACATATACATTAAATAAACAAATACATTATTGAACATAAATTTAAAAATAATAATACATTGATAATTGAAAAATAATAATGCGAATTTGAAAAGCTAATAATTGTTATTTATCATTAGTAAAAAAGAAAAAAATTTAAATCCAACTTTTAATTTTAAATTGCATTTTTTCATTTTCAAGAAAAAAAAATTATCTTAGTTTTAGCCTTTACAGGTAAGACTAACTTGATTTAATTTAAAAAAAATTCAAAAGTGTTTAATTTATTTTAATTTAAAATTTTTTAATTTAAATTTTTTTAATTCTAATCAAATTAAATTTATAAAAATAAAAGCTGATTTAATGAGTCTTCAATTTGACAAATAGAAACATCATCTTGAAAAATAATAATTGACATTTATCATGTTAGATAAACAGACTAAACTTTAAATTAAGGTTGGAAACAAAGAAACAAAATTTGTTTCGCATATTAAATCATGCAAGACAGCCACCACAATTTGAAAACTCTCTTCATTTAGAAGGTTGAAACTGATATTTTCTTCTAATATATTATTTGTTTTAAGTTTTTTTGTGTACTAATTTTGTTATAGGTTTTAATTTTTCTTTTTCATTTGAAACCAATTAAATAATAAAATAAAAGAGAGAGAGAAAGGGAAAAAAGTTCAGTTTCACTAAAATTTAACTTTGAAAATGTTTATAAAACTAAAAAAATGTTTTTACAAAAAATACTATATAAACAACATATGATAATCTTGTACAAAGTGATAAAATAGAATATATTAAAACTGTGCATGACATAAATAACAATTAAGGTATCTGTTATAATTTTATTTCCCTAAGGACCTTTTCTATTTGGATTGGAGTTCATATGCCAAAAGAAATAAATAAGTTGCATTGTCCACACAATTTATTATGTGATTTTTTTACAAAAAGTTTTTGTTTCAACATACGAACTATTCTATCTATGTTTATGATTTTTCACATGAGTAAATACAATGATAAACCAAAATATACAGAATGCCAAATGGATTTTGCTTCATAACTGCTTGAATTCAGAAAAATCGTTGCACATGGTTCACTGCATTACTCCCTTTGCTTCTCTGTATAGTTGATCAATGTGATCCTGCAAAATATGTTGAGAAAAAGTAGTGTTTATTGAGTAACATCTGATTGGAATTTACAGATAAACATTTTTTGTTGATGCATGGAAGCCAAAAACTGATGCAAATTTGGTAATAATTGTGAATCAAACTGCTAACTAAAAGGGTTATATAAATGATGACAACAGCACCTTATAGTACTTGAGCAATTGTGGTCTCTTCAATTTGAAGGTTGGAGTTATTAAATCTCTCTCCACGTCAAAGGGATTTGGGTCCAGGTGAATGGCTTTTAGCAGCTCAAATCCTCTGAGCTGAGAGTGTTTGTTTCATGTCAGATATAGCTAAAACAACCAGAAACTAGCAGCACAGCATAATGATCTACTATTTATACATACTTGGAGTTTCTGACCAGTGCTGTTGAGCTCATCCAAAATGTACTTTCTTGCTTTTAGATTGTCACATAATGATTTAAAATCATCACTCACATTGTGCATTACTGCCCAATCCTCAATGGCCTTTCTTTCAGGGACCACAACAGCCACCAAGAATGACTCAAAGCTGTTTCCATACACCCAAATCTGCATAACAAAGAAGTCTTTTATCAATTATTGGATCACATAAATTTTAAATTTGTGGTACTTGTTAGAGATCTTGCTTTGACTAGAAATAAAACAAATTTACATTATATAAGTAGATACAAACATGTGTATTGCTTGATTGATGAAATTTTCTTGTAAATTTATATCTGAACAAAAAATGAATTATGAATTCTCACTATTGTTTCTCTAGTTTTAATGAGTGCCCTGTGAATGAACCAGAATCATACCGATGCTATAAGGGGGCACTGCAAATACTTGTTTTCAATATTCTCCACAGCAATATATTCTCCTTGAGATAATTTGAAGATATTCTTCTTCCTATCAATAATTTTCATGGCTCCATTTGGTTGCCACTCTCCAATGTCTCCTGCAATGACGTACTTGTATTTGCATTCTTTTGCTTATTTAGAAATCACTGAATTTTGAATCAAAAAGAACAACATTGCTTACCTGTGTGAAACCAACCATCAACCATAACCTCTTTGGTCAGATCTTCACGCTTGTGATAACCAGAGAACAAGGTATTTCCTCTCAGACAAATTTCTCCTCGGGCTACATTGGAAAGTGCATCATATTCCATCTCTGGCACAGATTCAAGCCTGGCCTCAATGGTCGTTGTAGGGACTCCAATTGTTCCCATCATAGAAAACACATTGCTTATTGCAGTGAGACACCCACCACAACTTTCAGTAAGACCTGCCACATCAAAATGATAATAAATTAATATGATCATGCACATGTACACAATTACATGTCACAATTATATCAAAATCATGCTAGAATTCTTTTATAGTATTTAACCATCATTTCTAGAGTTGTCAATTTGGCCTAACCCACGGATCTATTCAAGTTAACCTTTAGTCCAAACCGACTCGTCTCAACTTTCTATCTAGGTCGACTAGATCTTTAGTATGGATTGACTACCTTCCACTTTGGCCTTGATGGTAACCTACTTTAGAAGAGAGCTTTGGGGATTGGACATTTTGAGGCCCCTTATTTAGTTGGCCAATAAAATGAAAGTTTCTTTAGAAGTGGATTAGGGCTGGCACATAGGCCATGAGTCTAATTGACCTCTGCTAATTTCTATTTTCTAGTGAGTTTCTGTAAATTAAGTCCTTGATTCACAAAGCTTTAATATGCTTTTTCTCTATAATAGAATATCCATATACCATACCATATCCTTGTGATAATGTAGATCCACTGGTGACCCTCATAAACTCTTCCACATGCCTAGGCAAAGGAGCAGCTCCTGATAACAGGATGCGAACACGTCCACCCAGTGCTTGTTTTGTCTATCATTGAAACTTATATTTTAGTTTAGAACCAAAGTTTATGAAAACAACACATGAAGTTAAAGTGCTATTATACCTTGTCAAACACAAGCCTATCGAACAGAGGTGCTGCTTTGTGTTGTGGAAGACCCTTCTCCATATATTTTAACTTGCTGTCATTAGACTCCAAATTAGTTTACACAAACATACAGATAATAACTTCACACTTGAGTTTAATGATGAAACTTACTAGTTGTAAGCATACTGAAACAATGTACTCCGCAGTACTCCTGCTGAGGCAAGTCTGCTCTTGATACCTTCAAATGAAGAGCTTATTTATTGGATAATGTAGTCATACAAAGATCAGAATTTAATAACACTGTTTAAGATTTTGATTCTGGTTTAAATATGGTAGTCACAGAACCAAAGATGATCATAAGAATCATTCTTGTTTTACCAGCACAAATACGATCATAAACTCTAGGAACACCACAAAATATAGTTGGTTGAAGTGCCTGAACATCTTCCAGCAAAAACCTGACATCCTGCATGAATCAACAAGAAAAATCCCCAAGGGCATTAAAACAGAACATTTAAAGAAAGAGCCAAAAACTAATTCCATCAGGTGCATCAAAATCTTACTCCTTGCCAAAATCCTATTGATGAGCCCTTAGAGATGCAATAGGTCTCCATTATTTGGTCATATACGTGAGCAAGAGGAAGAAAGGAGAAGTACACATCGTCTTCTGCTGCCTAAAAATATTACAAAATTTCTTGTCACAGTCAGTTATCAGAACTGGGTTTAAGAAATTATGTTCCATTTGAAAATCACTGTGACATTTGTCAAGATGGAAGCCAAAGAAAGATTGGGGTGGCATAGTTCCCTGAGTCAATATTATAATTATATGTGATGAAACTAATTAAGCTTCAAGGAAAATGGTTCTTACCACTCTGTCTGTTAACATAAGTATGTGGTCAACAGACAACACTTCAGCCATGAAAGCCCCATTCTTAATAACAACGCCTTTGGGATCTCCAGTTGTTCCACTGGTGTACATTATTGTGCAAATGTCTGTCTTCTTTTTCAATGGTAAATCCCAATCCAGACATCCCTAGAACAAGGATCAAAAGGTTAATATCTCAGAATACTCAGAAAAGAAGACTCATGATTCTGACTTTGAACACCAATTGAAAACCAGATTTAATTAACATCTTACCATCTGGAGAAACTCTTCCCACGAGAAGCAGGACACACCATGTTCCTCAGCTTCCTTCTTTTGTGTGGTCGAAACACTTCCAAAGCTTACAATTGCTACACCAATAATTAGAGCTCGGTCAGCATGGAATGGAGGTAAGACCCTTAATCTATGAGTAACTAAAACATCAATGCTTCACCTACTTTTAAGATTTGAAGAACACTGCACAAGACATGACAAAATCTGTGGAAAACGATGTTAGTTCACTAGGAAGCTTTAAGAAATTCAATGGATAACTTGCAAATTACAACTGTTTTCTATAAAAGACAGCATTGAAAAGGACTTGCAGTAGGCATGACATATTTCCAAGACCTGACTTTACATTACTGCTCTAAGCAAGTTGCTGATAGTAACATCATATAATAGTTTATGTATACATTTAATTCATCTAATGAAGTTCTCATCACAGTTTATGAGGAGACAAGACCAAGATAATTATGTGTTCAAAGTTGCATGCAAAATATGACAAATTAATTGTTAGCCTATGTAATGATGATCCTTCTATGGCAAGCATGTGCATCGGGGGGTAAAATATGAGGAAGAACCAGATAAGATAATCCTAGTGAGTTTGAAGGTTCAAGCAAAGCCATATCATCAAATTATGAAACAGCAAAATTATCTGTCACACTCACTGAATCCAGGATTACTAAGCAAATATGGTAATATTAGAAATAGAGGAATTCAATGTTTTGGAAAATCTAGAAGTAGTAAAAGAAAACTGTGCTCAAAGAACTACAACATACTGATTGAATTTTTTTTTCCTGAACAAATGCAATTGAAACTTCAGCATGATTTATGATAAACTCCACTGCATTAGGACCTGGTAAGCATAAAACCAAGGCAAAGCCAAAGTCAATTACTAGCTTGCAGAATTACAGTCTGAATGAGTGTTGAGCAAGAGAAACTTGCTGATATATGCTCCAATTTGTGTCCACAAAAATGTTTCAAATGGTAAAAGCAAACTAAAACATTTGTTAAGTCAGAATACACATACCAAGGGTGTCATATAAGGGAACATATGACACTGCACAGCTATTGCAAGCCTACAAAACAGCAAAGCAGAATCAAGTGAAGTCCCATCGGAATATCAACTAAATAGTATTGCAATTACAATTTAAGGAAATTTACATTGTAATTCAATCTCAAATATTTAGGTAGAATAGTTTGCTTACTTTTATGATTAGTAATTTAAAGCCATACCAATGATGATTTTCGATTGGTTGATGACATATTAGAATAAAATATAATGAGATATTATAGATAATTAGTTATTTAGTTTCCAGTATTCTAGATAGTATATGTATTATATATATAATCAATTATTTAGCTTCTTTCTCTCTTTATATGGTATAAAAGTCATTTAGAGTCCATACTAATGGAGTTTACTAGGTCTATCATGTTATCACTATTAGGTTGGACAGCCCACAAATATATAGTCTCAAATTCGAGAAAAATATATATATCTGTTTTAAGGGTTTATTAAAAATCTTACATCGATTAAAGATTAGATCAATATACACTGTATAGGCAGGTATAAACCATACTTTATAGATCAGTTTTATAGAATTGAGATAAACTTAAATTTACTTAATATGGTGTAAGAAAAATTATGTTATGGCATTGGAGTTAAACTCTAAGATACGAGGCTTTGTTAAACTAAAAATAATATATGATGATACTAAGAAAGTGGTATACCTCCATTGCAATGATCCATTCAGGGCAGTTGGACCCAAATATGCCACAACGATCTCCCTGTGATTTAAAACCATTCGTTAGACTATCAATTTCCCATTATTCAGTGATTCAATACAATTATCTTGAAAGAACAAGGAATGTTGTAAACTCACTGGATTAACACCTCGGCTCTTCATGGCAAAACCCAGTTTCAAGGCAGCATCATAAACCTCTTGATATGTAAGCCATATGTAGGAACCTGCCTGTAAATTCATCTCAACGTTCACATGATGTTTTCAAAAATTTGAGGATAAATTTGTTTTCCCAAATAATTTAGACTCTTAGAGCTATCCATAACAAGAGAACTTGTCTTCATTTCCTCAAGTTAGGTAAAAGGTTACATGTAAGCATAAAAAAGTCTAACAATCAATGAAGAGAGTACTGGTTCCATTAGTGTGTTGTGTCACTTTTTACATAAGGGGACAATGAACAAAAATAGGAGATTTTAATTCTAAGTTCCAAAAAAATGGAGTTGGTACCTTAGATTCTGTTTTTTGACGCCTACCAAGCATTTTGCTGTTGGGGTTCCTCTTAACAGAGTCCCTGCCAAATGAAGCACCAAAAATGAATAAAAATTGGTGTATTGCTTTTCTTTTCTTATATAGAAAATTCACATAAATAGTAATTTGATACAATTTTGGAGGAAGAACTTTACATCTAACTGATAAATTGAGAAATTATATTAAAAAAATAAAAAACTACTTAAAATTAGATAACAAGAAAATATACATAAAAATCAGTACTAGCACAGTTGGATAAAAGTATAATAATGTTACTTCTTAATATGGGGCAAAAAAAAGAAACACTTCCATTCGAATTCTTCTGCTCTAAACTGAGTAAGGATTAAATAAGTGAACAGATTCATTGATGAAAAAAAAAAAACTTTGGCATTCTAACACAGTCATCATTTGCCATGTAAGTATATGAGTACTGTATGTTAATTTTCTTATCAGGGACTATTATTACTCACTTTACCCTCTAAAATAAGTTACTCAATTTAGAAGAGATTCCCTGAATGTGAGCATTGTGATGTTGATCTATGTCATAAACACAACAAAACAGATAAAATTTTCCTACAAAATGACTTAATGCATCACAGACGACAAATGATTTAAGAATTTGGAGTGTCAGAATAGATGAGATATCAAAATGTAGTATTTAGTAAAAGAAAAGTAAAGAAAACTGTGTTTGAGACCTGAAGAAATCCCAAGGTGATTCCAAATGAGAAGGAACTTCCAAGAGAGCATCTTTAGCATAAATGCTCCTATAGACAGGACCTGCAGATGGTTTTCCATCAGTTGCAGGCCTTCCCTCTTCAACTTTCACAGTGAAAGTCTCTGGCATTGTAAGATGGAAAGGAATGTGCAGGTGTGTTGTCTCAGAACTGTGTCTAGGGGATGATGGTGATGATGATGATAATGATCAAAGTGGAGTTATATGTGAGGTAATAAATACAAAGGGGTGTGGATAAATCAGATTTCAAAGGAAGAAGAAATGCATGTGAACCGGCAATGTGGGGGTTGAGCCAGAGCAATAAATTCAGTGTTTACTTTTGCTATGCATTTTCTGAACAAATTTTTGTAGCTGGTTTAATGCTACCTTCTTTCGGCTCTTCTGTGACTTTTCTGTTTGCATGTTTTCAACAACACAACCTCTGTAGACATTTATATTGGATGCAAAAATTTGGTGAAGCTAAGAGACAAATTAGGAAACACAAACAAACAAAATAAAGGGCATACAAACTTTTGGTTCTCCTTAAAAAGAAGAAGAAAAAATGTTTAATATAAGCTTTTTCTTTAATGGAATGTATTTATAAACTTTATAAATGATAAATATCTCTTCTTAGTATAGAAAGAAACTCATGGTAAAAGTCTAACTCACACTTATAAAGAGACTAATGGAATATAAATATAAGCTAAAAGTCTTATAATAAGCAGAAATAATATAAAATGAAACACATAAATATTATACTATTTACCTATTGTACTATTTACAATATATATTCCCATGATATTGATAGAAAAAAAATTTTGGATATTCATCATATATTATACTATTAATGACCATCATTAAGCATTTGTCTGGACAAAAATGCACCCTCAAACTATGCATCACCATCTTCATAATTTTGGTCAACATTTAACAGTGTTAACCAAATTTCATAAATGAATGGTTAGTTGGTTATGTCTTCTCAATAAACACTGCCATTTTTCATTAAGTACTCTACTCTTGAGAATTTCTTCAGCAAAGCATAAATAAATACATATATGCACTCAGTTTTACTATTTAATTGAATTATAACTTTGGGCTCTTTAATATTTTATCTACGTTTTTTATTTATAATTTTACTCTTTCCATTTTCAAAAAGTCATAGTTTTATTCTGATATTCAGTTTTACATGTTTCATTCCTTTCACTTTTCCCCCAAAGGGGACATATAACTCCTATATTTACTTAAGATATCATCAGGAAATAATTTAAATAATTAAAACAAAAGGTGAAATATATACGTTTTAAAAATTTTCTAAATTTGCTAGTGTTTTAAATGCAGAGATGAAAATAATGAAATTTTTAGAAAAAAAAAACAAGAAAAGTGGCGTTCATGGCAAGAAAAAGATCCCCAAACTCAAAAAAAAAAACAAAAACGTTAAAAGGTTATTTACATTTACCTTAATGAAATAAATAAGATATATTGACAATCCATTTAAACATATAACCATAATAACAATTTCCCCTAACTTATAAATTATCTATTTATATTATCATATTATTACAATATAATTGGTAAATAGTTATTTTGATGGTTAAACTATTATTTTTCAATTATATATGTAGCCACAGTAATGCAAATAAGGTGTGAGAAACTTATTTGTTTCAGGTTATTTATTTTTAGTAGAAAAAAGAAATAGATAGAAAGTATAAAAGTAAAATCAGGTAAAAGTAACTTCATTAAAAAAATATATTTAGTTGAAAATAAAGTGAAGAAAAACTAATTAGACTCAGTTATTTTCAATTTTAAGATATTGAATTCATTACCACCATTTTCTCTCTCTCTCTCTCTCTCTCTCTCTTCCACCAAACCAAACAACATAATAGAAATGTAGTCATTGGGTGGTAAACCATAGAAGAAGAACAAAAATAAGTTTGTTGGGTAATGTTAGGTTAATGAATAATTTCATGCATGCAGTTGAAAATTGGTGTGACAAAAGATATGATTAGGTGGAATATGATATAATTGGATATGATATGAGGTGGGGGAAAAGTTGAACATTAGTTTGGTGGCCAATTGAAAAGATAGCCATTCATAATTCATACCTAACTTTGTGTGCTACCATTAATGTTCCATGCAACATTAATTACCAAAGGCATGTAGCACCATAAGTGGTGGGGTAATACTAAAAAATTTCTCATATGCTTATTTTGACAATTTTTATGTAAGGATGTGGAAATTATGGAATTATAATTGTTGATTGAGAAGTTTAAAAAAAAAATTAACTACGTAATATTTTTGTTAATGTTATTGTGGCATATTTTAATCATTATTTGTAATTTTAATTTTTTTTAGAGCGTTCATATTCAATAAATTTTTTGTTTAAAAATATTTTTTGAAATAAATATCGAGACTTTGGTACATTCGTAAAATGGGTCAAAATAAATCAGATTATGATGTTAATTTGAGTGGCAAGAGAAAAGGACAANAGAATAGTTTGCTTACTTTTATGATTAGTAATTTAAAGCCATACCAATGATGATTTTCGATTGGTTGATGACATATTAGAATAAAATATAATGAGATATTATAGATAATTAGTTATTTAGTTTCCAGTATTCTAGATAGTATATGTATTATATATATAATCAATTATTTAGCTTCTTTCTCTCTTTATATGGTATAAAAGTCATTTAGAGTCCATACTAATGGAGTTTACTAGGTCTATCATGTTATCACTATTAGGTTGGACAGCCCACAAATATATAGTCTCAAATTCGAGAAAAATATATATATCTGTTTTAAGGGTTTATTAAAAATCTTACATCGATTAAAGATTAGATCAATATACACTGTATAGGCAGGTATAAACCATACTTTATAGATCAGTTTTATAGAATTGAGATAAACTTAAATTTACTTAATATGGTGTAAGAAAAATTATGTTATGGCATTGGAGTTAAACTCTAAGATACGAGGCTTTGTTAAACTAAAAATAATATATGATGATACTAAGAAAGTGGTATACCTCCATTGCAATGATCCATTCAGGGCAGTTGGACCCAAATATGCCACAACGATCTCCCTGTGATTTAAAACCATTCGTTAGACTATCAATTTCCCATTATTCAGTGATTCAATACAATTATCTTGAAAGAACAAGGAATGTTGTAAACTCACTGGATTAACACCTCGGCTCTTCATGGCAAAACCCAGTTTCAAGGCAGCATCATAAACCTCTTGATATGTAAGCCATATGTAGGAACCTGCCTGTAAATTCACCTCAACGTTCACATGATGTTTTCAAAAATTTGAGGATAAATTTGTTTTCCCAAATAATTTAGACTCTTAGAGCTATCCATAACAAGAGAACTTGTCTTCATTTCCTCAAGTTAGGTAAAAGGTTACATGTAAGCATAAAAAAGTCTAACAATCAATGAAGAGAGTACTGGTTCCATTAGTGTGTTGTGTCACTTTTTACATAAGGGGACAATGAACAAAAATAGGAGATTTTAATTCTAAGTTCCAAAAAAATGGAGTTGGTACCTTAGATTCTGTTTTTTGACGCCTACCAAGCATTTTGCTGTTGGGGTTCCTCTTAACAGAGTCCCTGCCAAATGAAGCACCAAAAATGAATAAAAATTGGTGTATTGCTTTTCTTTTCTTATATAGAAAATTCATATAAATAGTAATTTGATACAATTTTGGAGGAAGAACTTTACATCTAACTGATAAATTGAGAAATTATATTAAAAAAATAAAAAACTACTTAAAATTAGATAACAAGAAAATATACATAAAAATCAGTACTAGCACAGTTGGATAAAAGTATAATAATGTTACTTCTTAATATGGGGCAAAAAAAAGAAACACTTCCATTCGAATTCTTCTGCTCTAAACTGAGTAAGGATTAAATAAGTGAACAGATTCATTGATGAAAAAAAAAAAACTTTGGCATTCTAACACAGTCATCATTTGCCATGTAAGTATATGAGTACTGTATGTTAATTTTCTTATCAGGGACTATTATTACTCACTTTACCCTCTAAAATAAGTTACTCAATTTAGAAGAGATTCCCTGAATGTGAGCATTGTGATGTTGATCTATGTCATAAACACAACAAAACAGATAAAATTTTCCTACAAAATGACTTAATGCATCACAGACGACAAATGATTTAAGAATTTGGAGTGTCAGAATAGATGAGATATCAAAATGTAGTATTTAGTAAAAGAAAAGTAAAGAAAACTGTGTTTGAGACCTGAAGAAATCCCAAGGTGATTCCAAATGAGAAGGAACTTCCAAGAGAGCATCTTTAGCATAAATGCTCCTATAGACAGGACCTGCAGATGGTTTTCCATCAGTTGCAGGCCTTCCCTCTTCAACTTTCACAGTGAAAGTCTCTGGCATTGTAAGATGGAAAGGAATGTGCAGGTGTGTTGTCTCAGAACTGTGTCTAGGGGATGATGGTGATGATGATGATAATGATCAAAGTGGAGTTATATGTGAGGTAATAAATACAAAGGGGTGTGGATAAATCAGATTTCAAAGGAAGAAGAAATGCATGTGAACCGGCAATGTGGGGGTTGAGCCAGAGCAATAAATTCAGTGTTTACTTTTGCTATGCATTTTCTGAACAAATTTTTGTAGCTGGTTTAATGCTACCTTCTTTCGGCTCTTCTGTGACTTTTCTGTTTGCATGTTTTCAACAACACAACCTCTGTAGACATTTATATTGGATGCAAAAATTTGGTGAAGCTAAGAGACAAATTAGGAAACACAAACAAACAAAATAAAGGGCATACAAACTTTTGGTTCTCCTTAAAAAGAAGAAGAAAAAATGTTTAATATAAGCTTTTTCTTTAATGGAATGTATTTATAAACTTTATAAATGATAAATATCTCTTCTTAGTATAGAAAGAAACTCATGGTAAAAGTCTAACTCACACTTATAAAGAGACTAATGGAATATAAATATAAGCTAAAAGTCTTATAATAAGCAGAAATAATATAAAATGAAACACATAAATATTATACTATTTACCTATTGTACTATTTACAATATATATTCCCATGATATTGATAGAAAAAAAATTTTGGATATTCATCATATATTATACTATTAATGACCATCATTAAGCATTTGTCTGGACAAAAATGCACCCTCAAACTATGCATCACCATCTTCATAATTTTGGTCAACATTTAACAGTGTTAACCAAATTTCATAAATGAATGGTTAGTTGGTTATGTCTTCTCAATAAACACTGCCATTTTTCATTAAGTACTCTACTCTTGAGAATTTCTTCAGCAAAGCATAAATAAATACATATATGCACTCAGTTTTACTATTTAATTGAATTATAACTTTGGGCTCTTTAATATTTTATCTACGTTTTTTATTTATAATTTTACTCTTTCCATTTTCAAAAAGTCATAGTTTTATTCTGATATTCAGTTTTACATGTTTCATTCCTTTCACTTTTCCCCCAAAGGGGACATATAACTCCTATATTTACTTAAGATATCATCAGGAAATAATTTAAATAATTAAAACAAAAGGTGAAATATATACGTTTTAAAAATTTTCTAAATTTGCTAGTGTTTTAAATGCAGAGATGAAAATAATGAAATTTTTAGAAAAAAAAAACAAGAAAAGTGGCGTTCATGGCAAGAAAAAGATCCCCAAACTCAAAAAAAAAAACAAAAACGTTAAAAGGTTATTTACATTTACCTTAATGAAATAAATAAGATATATTGACAATCCATTTAAACATATAACCATAATAACAATTTCCCCTAACTTATAAATTATCTATTTATATTATCATATTATTACAATATAATTGGTAAATAGTTATTTTGATGGTTAAACTATTATTTTTCAATTATATATGTAGCCACAGTAATGCAAATAAGGTGTGAGAAACTTATTTGTTTCAGGTTATTTATTTTTAGTAGAAAAAAGAAATAGATAGAAAGTATAAAAGTAAAATCAGGTAAAAGTAACTTCATTAAAAAAATATATTTAGTTGAAAATAAAGTGAAGAAAAACTAATTAGACTCAGTTATTTTCAATTTTAAGATATTGAATTCATTACCACCATTTTCTCTCTCTCTCTCTCTCTCTCTCTTCCACCAAACCAAACAACATAATAGAAATGTAGTCATTGGGTGGTAAACCATAGAAGAAGAACAAAAATAAGTTTGTTGGGTAATGTTAGGTTAATGAATAATTTCATGCATGCAGTTGAAAATTGGTGTGACAAAAGATATGATTAGGTGGAATATGATATAATTGGATATGATATGAGGTGGGGGAAAAGTTGAACATTAGTTTGGTGGCCAATTGAAAAGATAGCCATTCATAATTCATACCTAACTTTGTGTGCTACCATTAATGTTCCATGCAACATTAATTACCAAAGGCATGTAGCACCATAAGTGGTGGGGTAATACTAAAAAATTTCTCATATGCTTATTTTGACAATTTTTATGTAAGGATGTGGAAATTATGGAATT